TATGTATAATAAAATTTGTAATTTTTAGCAATGGATAGGTACTAAAAAACTAAAATAAAGTTTAATAATATTTGAAATTTGAGAAAACGATTTTGATTGGCTGACAAGTGCGTGACGTCACACTGTAGTAAACCGTCTGCAATCGGCTGCTTATGTTGAAAGTCAAAGCACAGTGTAAGGATATATATACTGTGGTCAAAGCAAAATTAACTCTTAAAAATTCTTTATATAAATTTCAAAATTAAAATGTCAAACGAACTAGATCCAAGTTTTATTAAAGCCGATTCGACAAACTTACCGAAAATAACGGTATTTATGGTTTGGGAATACATTGTTAATGATGAGCGATATAATGCTCCAGAAGTTCGAGGAATAAAAGCAACTCTTTAGATGTAATAATTTTACAAATTCCCAAAATACCTTTACATTTAACATTCAATGTTTTAGCTTACGTTTTAGGTTATGTTGGATATTTTTACGAACATAATTAATATTTTTACAAATTTATAATATTAAAGCATAAAAAACATATTTTATATAATACCTACATCGAAATGATCTTCACAACAAAAATAATTCCATTTTCCTGGTTCATCAATACGATGTGCACTTTTAAAACACTTTTTTCTCACATTTTCAGCTTGAGGCACATAAAAAAAACAATTTTCCTGGTGTTTTAATTGTCGTACTTTTACACAAAGGTACAAAACACGTTTTGTATGTGTTTCATTTGCTCATTTTTTAAATAAATTAATTTCCTGCTGAAGAATTGTGGTTTCGTTGTTGCAGTGTGACGTCACAACGTGTTCGGGAGAGCTCGGTCGTATCCGGACCGTCTTCGGCATTTCAAATATTGCAATACTTTATTATTTATTTTCTTGCATAATTTACGTTTAAAAATTATTTGAACATTGCAGTTAAAGATATATATATATAAATTATAAAATGTTATATTTTTCAAAAATCATGAGAACTCCCTATTCAATTGATTTTTTGCCAACAATCTGCACAAACTCGAGATCGTATGATTTATCAAGTCTTGTTAACTCACATTAAATATGACTAATATGAGGTTAGAAATCTGTGCTATTATGCGATAAGTTTTCACCAAATAAATAAGTAGTAAAGTCATTGATTAAATATAAAATATTCGTATCACTTCAGATTTTGTATCACACTGTGTGTAAATGGAAAGCAACTTTTTTATTCGAATTTAATACGTTTTGCACGTTTTTGTCTATTTTGTCTGTTTTATCCACAATTCTATATTTACGAAAAATAAAATTTTTCTAATGATTATTCATTACAACTTCGAGTTAACAAAGTTATAATAAACAAGTAGTGTTAAGGTACTTTTTCATACGCAGCACGCTGCAGCAGCAATTCGTTACTATTGGTTAAGAATTGTATGTAAGCTAGATGACGCACTTCCGGCGCAAAATACATTTTGCCGCAGTTCGTTGAAGTTGAACCGAACGAACAGCAAGCAGCAAGCGGCAAAATCGAGAAAGCGTACAATATGTCCGTCGTTTCATTATGAAAATATTATTTATTGCAATAAATATTAGGAAAATAAACGAAAAATAGCTTCGGATAAGGTACGGATACATGTTTGTAAATTAGATTATTTTATACTTTACCACAAATTAAAGAGTAAAGTGTAAAGTATAAAATGATCTAATTTACAAACATTCGTACCTTATCTGAAGCCATTCTTCGTTTATTTTCCTAATATTTATTGCAATAAATAATATTGCCTCGATTTTGCCGCTTGCTGCTTGCTGTTCGTTCGGTTCAACTTCAACGAACTGCGGCAAAATGTATTTTGCGCCGGAAGTGCGTCATCTAGCTTACATAAAATTCTTAACCAATAGTAACAAATTGCTGCTGCAGCGTGCTGCGCATGAAAAAGCACCTTTACGTGATGTTTCGAAATTGGCGTTGATATATTGGCGCGCATTTCCAAGATCACGTGATTTCCGGTTTCACAACATCATGCCGGACATTGGCCCATCTCTCCATATAGGATCTCTAGTCCAGCATCATCTTAAGAGCCCAAGGTATCGATCACGAAACTTTTTTCCTAGAATGAAAAGTGAAAATTTTTACCATTAAAGTTAATGGAGAAATTTTTCACTTTTCACTTTTCATCCTAGGAAAAAAGTTTTATGGGGGTCAATCACGTAACTTTTTCTCTAAGGCGGAAACGTGAAAAGTGAAAACTTATAAATGCATGTATGAACATATACACACATACATGCAAAAAATTTTCACTTTTCACGTTTCCGCCCTAGGGGAAAAGGTACGTGATTGACCCCATAATCGATACCCAGGAAAATCACAGTGATTTTACATGAGTAGAAACACTTATTATTCTTACACCGTGGTCTGAGGGTCTATTCTTGAAAAGAAACGTATACGAAAAACTAGGAAAATACTATAGTATACGTAACGTAGAGACTTGAACATATACACACATACATGCAAAAAATTTTCACTTTTCACGTTTCCGCCCTAGGGGAAAAGGTACGTGATTGACCCCATAATCGATACCCAGGAAAATCACAGTGATTTTACATGAGTAGAAACACTTATTATTCTTACACCGTGGTCTGAGGGTCTATTCTTGAAAAGAAACGTATACGAAAAACTAGGAAAATACTATAGTATACGTAACGTATGTACACTGTAATATTTCCCTAGACTTTCGTATAAGTTTCTTTTCAAGAATAGACTCCCAGAGGCCCTATTCTGTAACTCGTTAAGCAGTTAACGACATCGTTGCGCAGCTTTTTATACCATAAGATATCTACGCAACGATGTCGTTAACTGCCTTAAGTCCTATTCTGTACACGCTTACCGACAACTGTCGGTATCGTTAAGTAGCGATAACCAATGATATGGACTGTTCTAGGAGAAAAGTGCGATTCTTATTGGCCATCGCTACTTAACGACACCGACAGTTGTCGGTAAGCGTGTACAGAATAGACCCCCAGACCACAGGGTAAGAATAATAGGTATTTCTACTCATGTAAAATCACTGTGATTTTCCTGAGGACATTCCGCAGTTAACCAGAAGGTGGCGTATATGTATAACACCTAACCCCAAGTATTTTAAAAGATATGTGAATAGATAATAAGATTTTAATAAAAGAAACATAATAAAAGAAACTATAATAATAAAAGAAACTATAATAATTAAAGGAACTGTTGTAATAATTGCACAAACATCTTTTATTAAATTTTGTTGATAAACTTAAAAATGTCTTTGTACTGTTTGAACTTTAACTCATTTAGCAGCCCTTAATGCTATTACTTTCTTATGAGTGGAAGGTGTAAGTACTATCTTTTTGGAAATACGGTGCTCATTACGAACAGCATTTTGTTGTAAAGATTTGTATAAAGATACACAAAACTTGCATACTTCTTCTCCAGAAGTCTGTATAGGACATTTTTTATGTCGCCACGTATTAGTTATGTTGTCTTGTATAGCACATAGTGAATGAATATTTTTGAAATTGTTAATCACCGGGCCTCCTTGACATAAAGCCAAATTGTGTGCATGTTGTAATAGTAAATTTATGTCATTTAGATTTCCTAATATATGTTGGCCTAATAGCGCTTCTTTATTGAAAAACAGTACTTTATATTGTAAATTTTCGTAAATTATAACCTAATAAAGAAAAAAATATACTTTTTAAACACATAGCTTATTATATTAATATTGGTTACTATTCATTAACTCTTACTTGTTTTATTATAATCATATTTTTTTCCTTGGACATGTTTGCTTGAGTGAATAACATTTGTGGACGTAATTCAAAAGTGCGATGAAATCCCCATGTTATGTCGGGCAAGTTAACTTGAATTTCATTGTGTAATAATTTTTGAAAAATATTCTGTTTCTCGATTAATAATTCTAAAATATATCTTATAATAATAAACAGCCTTAATATAATTATTGCATAATAAAATAGTAAATTTTTACGTTGCTCTTCACAATACATAGGCGAGGTTGGTTGTAATTGTAAATTCAAAGCTACAGGTAAAGATGGTACATCACTGCTATTCTGATTTGATGTACCATCTTCTATCAAGCTTCCTTCACTATCTCGATCAATTGTTAAAGTTGTATCACTGTTATCCTGATTTGATCTGCTGTCTTCTATTAAGTTTCCTTCATCGACTTGATCTATTTGCTGCTGTTCACTGTCAATATTCAAAATCTCTCTTTTTTGCGAACACGTAAAGGAAGGATTAGCTCCATCTTTTAATCTTTTTCTTATTAATTTTCGCTGAAAAATGATGGAAAATCATAATTAACATATATAGAAGTAAATTCGATTTATATAATATAATAACAACATTACCTCAAATATTACTTTTCCATCCGAATTCTTAATCACTTTTCTTGTTATAATGTCATTTTCCTTAAAATGATCCTCACAAACGAGGAAAATTTTAGGTATTCTTATATCATGATATGCATGCTGAATTAATACAATCCATTCTTCGCGTTGTTTAATGTTACTTGGCACTCGAAATACTGATTTCTTACTGCACTTATATCTTTGAACGCAATTAGGAATAACACAATAGTTATATGGCATGATACAAACTAAAAATCAGAAAAGCAGTAATTTTCAGAATTTCTCGAGAATTTCTTATCAGACAGTAGATTATTAGGTTAGGTATTAGGGACCCTCAAGTAAGGGATCAGACAACATCGTCATTAGAGGGATACCGGAAGTACGTTAGTTAATACGCGGGAGTATTCAAATGTTATTAAGACCTGTATTAAACAAGCTAGAATAAAAGGATAAATCCTGTGCATCATACGTGAAATGGAACATAGTTAAGAGCTTTGTGAACTGTTCCCTGTCTTTACGTTAATATAAATATGATAATTCTATCATTATATACATATATTATGATAGTTACATAATATTATATCTATTTACATTACATAAGGCAGAATACTTTTTAGGTGTCCAACTGACACGACCAGAGGCACGATAGATTATCCATTTTTCTCTTCTTGTAGGAGATTTCGGGAAATGAGGCATTATATGGCCATTTCTACTTAAATTTTTGCAATTTGGATTTCACAGTATTGCACTTCGCAATGATTTAAAAAATATATATATTTTTTAAATCATTGCAAAATGCAATACTGTGAAATCCAAATTGCAAAAATTTACATATATCTAATACAGTTTATATATAAACTGTATTTTCGAACCGTACATACGTATAATATCTACATCTTAAAACAATTAACAATACTGAGCAACTAAATCAGCAATTACTAAGTATGTTTTCCTGATGACACATTCGACACAAACGTCGTTCTATCCTTCTTAACATTCAACGAATGATAAAGATAGAACAATGTTTGTGTCGAGTGTGTCCTCTAAAAGGAAAGCATACTAACCATGGTAGAAATACAAGGGTATTCTCTTGCGCATCCCAAAAAAATCCAGCCAATGAAAATTGCAGCTTGACAGCGTCATCACTAAGAGGCAAATTTGAATTGTCTAACGACATTAGCACAATAACATTAATGAATTATGCGCAATTTAATATTAAAATTATGGAAAATCTTTGTAAAGTTGATAGTATTTGAGAATAAAATTATTAAAGATCAATATTCGGCTATCTTTAAAAATTAATATCTCGTTAACCATTGCGAAATGACACAGGACTTTTTGACTCAGTTTAGTCCACTCTATCTACACGAAAGCGATTGAAAGAAACTCTCAGGATA